TATTTGAAGAAAATTCAGGAAATTTCCCAGACACATTCCCTTGTAAAACAAGTCTCAAATGGCTCAAAATACAGTAGATGAGTTATTAAGTTAATATTTTTTGTATGATTGTTGATGGTTTTTATTATGTTGGAACAAACACACCCGATGTGTGTCTGTAAACAAAGTGACAGGCAGAAGAAATGATGTAAGAAGCGTAAGTGGTGCTAGAGAATGCAAAGTACACAAGGCTGCCCTTGACTTAGCATTGAGTGCCAGCAACACTCATCACTATGAACAAACTTAGAGCTAGAGCGTCCCGTAGCCTAAATGAAGGAGCATATGGGCCCATCCCCTCTCTGTAGCAGGCTCTCATACTCCCCCATGTTTCACTTCCTCACGTGTCTGGGAATGAGGGGGAGGGTTTATGATACACTGGAAAATGGGATGTCAAGTTGGCAGAATAACACTGTTGTGATTTCCCACACACAGGAATTTCGAGGCACTCCTTGCCTCACAGCACAAATTTTACCCCCCAATTTTGGCTATACTTAGCTGTAACTGTACAGTCGTTCCATCATTACCTCAATGGAAAAGAAGTCCATTAAAAGTCCATGATCATGCTGTACATCCAGTGACCTGACATTGCCTGCAGTGCAGTATATGGCATGTGGCAGTGGCCCTGTTTGGGACAAAACCTGTTAGTCTTCACCTTTGAAGTCTTTTCCCTTATAAAACTGAAAAATACTGATTGAAAACACACATGATAAAGCACAAATTTTACCTTGTGTCACTTGGAGTGAGGAATGGGCTCATTGTTGCCACTTGAGGCCGCTGAGAGAAAAACAGCTGCTACAACTGCAGTTCTTACCAACTGTCACGTACCAGTGGGTGTATGGAGCCTCACAGGGAAGTAATGGGTCTGTTACGGCTTGACACACTACAATGAGCCAAACAAGGTGTGGCAATAGAAAACTTACAAGGACAAGTGATACAAAGGTGAGATTTGTGCTTTATCAGAACGGGACAGACTTCAAGGATGAAGACTGACTGGTTGGTTTGGCAAATGTATGAATTCCTTCATCACCTCCATTAAAGAGTATTTCACAGTTGCTTTCTTGAACCTTTCTACAGAAACTATGGAAGGTAAATAGCAGACATCCATTTGTGTGAGATCATACAATATTCAGAATAATCCATTCAGGCAAACTGGGCCAAACTATTGAGAGAGGAGTGATCACTAAGCTTGTGGGCAGTAAAAGGCAGAGTGAGATGGGTCATGCTCTCTAGGTCACACTTTCTTGTACAGTATTTTGATATCAGGATCAATTAACAGCGAGAGAGCTAGCCACAGAAAAAAGAACTAGGGATGCACTAATGCAACTTTTTCTTCCTCAATACTGATTCCAACACCTCATCTTGGGTGTCTGCTGATACCGAATACCAATTCAATACCAACACCCTCTTTTTTCTAAATCTTTATACCTCACTGTGTTGAACTGAGGGAAAAACTGAGTCAGAACTGATGGCTGAATTTTACATTGGCAGTGTCAAAAACTGTATTTAATGCAGATCTGTTAGCAATAAGGTCAATATCAGAGCTGATACCAATAATCTGTAACAAACTGGTGCACGCCTCATAAGTACCATGTCTGGTCTACTGGATTTAAAAGAGAAAGAAAACATTTCACCACTTAATTTCTCTCAATGCTGGTGCGTTTGTACAACGCTGGATTTCTAGAGACGTCTGCTGCATCTGGTGGGTGGAGTTTACAATGCCTACTGTGTTTGTAGAAGGCCACGCATTATACAATGTGCATGGAGGAGGTTGTTGGACATTGCATCACTGCTCTGTTTCATAGCTGGCTTGAGGGCCCTGCGACACAGCCTGGACCTATTGTCCTGAGGCACGGACCCATGGCATGAGAGGGGACGCCGTACTAAGCTGACATAACACTGACGCATCAGAGAAGCCGGGGTGACTAGGCTAAAAAGACCTCAACTCATACACATGAACACACACTTTCTTGGATCCTTCATACTGTATATCATGAATTTTTGTGGGATTTGCGCCATCATAGTGGTTTGACCTTCTCCGCTGACTCCCAACAGTATTCTGGATATGTATTTGTAATTCTGAAAATATATTTTAGAACAAGATATCTGGACTTCTTTATAACTGAAGGTTCTTGATGTTACGTAGTTAAGAGCACATAGAGCACACGCACACATACTTCCATCCCTGACCACAGTGTTGATGAGGCCCACTCTACACCTTTGCAATCACACAAGTAAATCCTTCACACCGTAACACAACACGGCTACGGTTTTCTTTCCCAAAAGATGGACTGGCATGATTAAGTCAGTATTGTTCTGTTGATCCTGGGATCAGAATGTCTGGGAAGCCCAAAGAGCACCTACTAACACACATTGCACTACACACACATCTCTTGTCTTCTTTTGTTCTTATCCACATTTCACACCAGACCACCAGGGAGTCCCTACCTTTGAGACCAATGGAAAGAGAAGAGTGGGTGCCCTGTGCTGATCATTTAATCCCCTCCTTGCCTGGGATCCTTTCTTCCATTTGTAATCCCAGTGCAGAACTGGAACATCAGAGATTAGTGCGTGATTAGGCTGTAACCGTCCAGTGACCTGAGCTTGCCTACAGTACCTCAGCTTTGTCTGGCCTGGCACACTAGTCAGACTCATTAGGTCGACTGCCACTCACAAAGAAATTTTTAGTTTGCTTGTTGGGTGAGCAATGATCCCTTACTTTCCACCCAGCCAAAGTAAATCTGGAGAAGGCCAATGCGCCAGAATCTGAAGTTTACCATACCCTCTAACCTGCATTTTTGACTTTAAATTCTTGATATTGGTACAGTATTTCTGCTAATATTACTCAATGTAAACATGTCTGTCCCTGGAAAATACAGGAAAAATAAATAATACAAAGTGGGTTTAGAGTTTTACACCAATGAAAAATGTCCCAATATTGTAGTTAACATGCTATCTTACAGTGTCTTCTGGTGTTCTCCACTTAAAAAAAACTTTCATAACAGATGCCCACAAAAATTGCTATCAAGGGTCTCTTTATATCAGTGGGTAGGAATTCAGTTTTTCTGCCACTGGAATGTGTGTTATGTTGCAAAAGGATGTTGTTCTCTGATATATAGATGATGCACTGTGAAGATATGAACATTATATAAACAGTGCTCTGCTTTGTTTGTGCTTAGTGCTGCACACTTAACATACATTCTTAAAAGTGGTGAAAGCAGTATATACACATACATACATTTTATCCTGGTCAGTTCTTTAGCAGTGTTCATACCATAAATAATGTCATGTCCAAAAATGCTGTCCTGTCACTTATTTTAATCAGGCTGGCCAGCAAAAAAGTTTAACCTGGCTCAACTACTGCCACAGCATAATGCAACATCATTGGTCAGTCAAATAAGTGCACATTTTTATGACCAACTGCACTACTGCAACACAAAAATCCTCTCCAGGCCAAAGCACCGTCCTCACAAACCACTACTGTAAAAGAAAGATCTTTAAGACGGTTGACTGATGCCTCAAACTGTAAGCAAGATCCGTTATTTTATGTATTGTGAATTGTTCCATGAAGATTTAATATTTCTGAAACTGTCCCAGAGCCTGGTTTTGTATGTGTATGTTGTCGTGTCAAATGTAAAGTTGTATGCACATGTTTAATGGACTGTACAACCGGTAATACGAGGAAATGTTCTCATTGGAATTATCTTGGAGTACGACAATACTGTAGATGACTGCTTCAGACCCATGGATTTATTATTCCAACTTGACTTCCTGGACTGTTTGCGATTTTCTCACTCCCTGTAGCAACAGGGTCACACCAGTACAGAACCTTAAGATGTTTTTTAATGCAGCCCTATTATTTTTGTGAACACAACCTCATGTCACATCCATTACCGTGTCCAAACTTGGATAGAGTTTTGGCATTGTGCAGTTTCAACCATCTTGTGACCATCTCTGTCTCAGTTGTCTGATGACGTTTGCTTCCAAGTCGTAAACATAGGAATCATTCCCATCTCTGCCATCCGTCTCATATGATGTAAACATGGCATTAGTCTCTGAGTTAGTGCCGGACTTTTTGTGGTGTGAAATGCTATCTTCTCAAAGGTCCTTTCAACTATGTTTTTTTGTCTCAGGCTAATCATACAAGATTTTATTTATAACTTACAGTATATTGATGTTTAAATACATAACACATCTAAATTGGCTTGCTGTCATATCCACTTATGTATATAAAGCAACCGTGACATAAACATATTTATTCCTGCATCCACATGTCCACGAGTGTTGTTGTTGATGCTTATATCTGTACATAGCAGTTTGTTTACCTTCTAAAGCTTGTTGTCCTTGTCACCTTTTTGTTGTATGTGCCTATTATTGTGCATGTATACTTAGAGTATTGACAGCAATGTGAAACCGGAGTCAAATTCTTTGTAGCCCTTGTGTACACATACTTGGCCAATAAAAGTGATTCTGATTCTGACATCCGCTGCAAGTACTTATGCCATCCAAACACACCCTTTAATCGTGCCCCCCTTATTACTGATATATGGTAACAGGAGTCTAAATTGTAGCATGAAAAACAAATGGCCTATGTGCACATTTAGATTTCCTTCTTGCCTTCATTTTAAATCCTCCCCTGCAGTTTCCTTCCAAAAGACATTTTGTCTTGCAAGCACAAGATGAAAATTAAAATGCAACCGACAGGATGTCTCTAGAATAATAAGAACGATGAAACTACATTTGCAGCAAGTACATTTTACAAAATGCCGTCAGTGTTGTGTTTTTGTGTCTAGTATTTTTCCTGTTCTCCCCTCCCCCCTGTTTTCTCTCCTTCCTCTTTGTTTGCTTGATCTGCTTGATCCTCTCCTAGGTGCCTTGTCTCCTCCCAGCGACAGCTGCGGCCCTGTGATTGGCTGGCTGTGGAAAGAGGTGGGACCTATTGGCCGCTTCTGCTGTTTTTCTCGCTGGAGGATCAGCTTCGTCGTCAGTTTCGGTAACAGCCACACGACGAGGACAACGTTAACGTACGTTGCTTTACGTTTTTTAAACAGCTCTAAAGCGGCATATGTCGCCTTTTATAACACATAGAAATACGGAGATTATCCAGCCTAACGGAGGAGCTTTATCATTTGTCCTCCGACAAGGAAAAGAAAGGAAATAAGGGATCTTGTCGCTGCCTCTGCCCTTCCTGTTAGCTTCTTTTGTTTTTCACTGCTGCGCTCGAGAAGGCGACCAGTAGCGCCCCCTCGCGAGCCAACAGAAAAGAGCTCGAGGATAGGGAGCCAAACGAGCGGCCGAGCCTCTTGCCTCCCGACCGACGTGGGTCCCCCCAGCTCACTTGTCCGATGCGGAGTGAGGATGAGTCCCGCTCTAGAAGCCCTCATGCAGGCGGACGGGACTCCTTATCCCGGAAAAGGGGTAATGCTTGAACCCTTCGTGCACCAGGTGGGAGGCCACTCCTGTGTGCTACGATTTGGGGAACAAACAATCTGCAAGCCCCTCATCCCCCGGGAGCACCAGTTCTACAAGAGCCTCCCTCCAGAGATGAGGAAGTTCACCCCTCAGTATAAAGGTAAGACCCCCTCATCCCAAATCTGGAAGAAGTGTCAGGCTGTCTGTCATAACTGCGCATGTGTGATGTTGTCTTTGGTACCTAGCTTTTTAATCCTCTTTAATTTTCCTTATGTTTGTGCTCACAGCTTGCACTATGATGCATTATTTGTTGTTGATTTTCATGTTGATTAAAGCGCATTCGTTTATATCATAAGGATATTATTTTGCTTTGAGTACTGTGTGTTTGTGATGGACTGACGCAAGGACATGGTGTGCACAACAACACACTACCAAATGTATTCTCATATCTATAGATAGATACATTTTAGTGGCCTCATATTGTACCGTCTGTACAGTGTGTCACTTGAATTGGAGCAATTGGCAGGTTCGTTACCCAGTAGCATCCAAGCTGATGGCCTGACTACCTGCCAGGAGGATGAGTAGCCAGAGGACTTTAACGTGCCGTGTCTGTCTTTCAAGACAGCTACGGTTTCAGGGTGAGATAGAGTTCCACTGGGATCAAAAATAAATGGAACACATCACCAGGGGAGTAATTCACAAGCCGGTGGAGGAAATTTCCAGGTCTAGTTTCAGGTGCATCACAGAAACATGGACACGAATTCACATTTTCACCAACACACACGCTTTAAACTGGAATATCGCGTTTCCTGGTTTGCATCCAGGTCTACTATCTCGCCCACAGACGCAGATCAAGCAAGCACATACTGATACAGACGCCTTTAGGCAGCCGTGTGACGGAGGTAAGACGCACGCGTGGTATCTGACTCCGCAGTAATGCAGCGTGGGACTATAAAAAGACCCAGATGAGGAGTGGGATTTGGAGATAAGATAGTAAAGGGCTTCTGGGGCCTCAACTGTGATGCTCTTCTGTCTCTCACATAACGCACAATAGGAAGGAGAGGAAGAGGTGTTTTTAAAGAGCCTAGTTTCTGGTGTTCATTTGCTTTTCAAAGTTCATACTCATACACTGAATTTATGATTTATCAGGAAGGCTATCACAAAGGTGTAGATGTAGGTTAAGACATGAAAGCCGGACTGATCAAGAACTTCTGAACCTAATAAAACAATAGTCATTGATAATGATCAGCAACTCTGCCAAACCCCCGTCTAATATATTACGGTCAATTAATGTTTATTAGGTTGTAAAAGCATTAATTGACGCAGTCTTTCACTAATTTATGATTCCTTCTTGTGAATTAAGTCAGAGTGATTCACGAGTTCCCACACTCACTGAGGTGGTGATGACAGTGCAGTCCAAAGGACAGGCTTTAACGCCAGGGCCTTCCTGCACGACGGTGATGTCAGTGCACATGACATCAGCTAGGCCTCCGGCTGCGGAACAAATGAGGACGCTGGGTCCTCAGGCCCGCCATTTAACATTCAAAGACACTACAATGCATTTGGCTCAAGCAGTGGCTCTGTTTGGTCAGGTTGTTCTCAAGAGTGAATTGCTGTTTCATTCAATGTTGTTCAGTGGATTTTTTGTAATATACCACCACTTGTGTTGTTGGATGCAAAATGTCTTGCCTGCCGACTCGGATGCTGTGTCCATATCTCTGTGACTTTCTCTCTCGATCAGTTTCAACCACATCTCTCCTTCCTGTCTGTGGTTTATCTGTATCAGCCGCTGCAGCTGTAATGTTTATTCTCAGTCCCGACACCTCCCCCACTCTGCACAGAACATGCGACACACAGGCCCATCTAGGGACTCTGAGTAGGGGCTGGAGGGGGGGGGTCTACTGAGGTGCCTGTTTGTGAATCATGTCATGTCATAAATTAGCATTGGCATTAGTACACTGTGTTTCCTTTTTTTTCCCCTACTCCTCTGGTTTTTTGAGTTTGTAAAATTGGGGTTAATACTTCTAAACAAACTGCATACATTTCTTTTTTAAATGTTGGTTTGGTTACTGTTTTATTTAAAGCCACTGAATTTTGATGAGCTGTTTTTTGATGTATGTTTTATTTATGTGAAAAGAGAACTGTACTTTCATCTTTTCATGTCATTGTAGACTGCTTGGAACTCTGTATTATGAGTTATTGTGTGTGTGTGTGTGTGTTTCATGAGGATGTTTAGTAGTTCCTTAATAAATGTCCTCCTCAGTTTGACAAAGTTTGGCCTTGTGTGGTATTTTGTGTCTCTTGTTTGCTCACTAATGAGTCTCTTAAACACTGACATATGATGCTCTTGTTATAAAATGCTCTGCTTGATGATGCATCTTTCATCTTCCATCTTTGTCTCACGTTAAAACAACATGTTAATGTGTGTGTTTGTGCAAATGAGTCAATATCTTTGTGAAAATCTGTTACAGTTTTATAAGGCATGTTCGAGGTTAATGGATAAAGGTTTACCTAGTATCATTATTCAGTTCAGTGCTTATAACTACTCTCTGGTGCTCCTTCTCACCCTCTCTCAGGTGTTGTATCAGTCAGTTTTGAGGAGGACGAGGAAGGGAACCTGTGCCTCATCGCCTACCCCCTCCACAGCGAATCAGGGGACCTGGAAAACAAAGATCCTTCAGCAGACTGCGAGCCCAAGAGCAAGATGCTGAAGTGGAGCAACAAGAAGCAGTCCCCGTTGCTCTTGGAAAATGACAACTACAGCAAAGAGAGAGCACGACACAGCCGAAAAGAAGACAAGATCATGAGGTGAGGGTGCTTGCCATGGCTCCTCGATGCTTTCATAACCAACAAGACACTAATAAGTTCTGTAACACCAAAGCTGACATTTTTCTGTGTTTTTTTACTTTTGCAGTTATAATCGTGATGAGAGTCAGCAACAGCAGCAGCAGCAGGCGGAGGTTCTGTATTTCAGCCTGGAGAAGGGCAACGTGGTGCCACAGATCAAACACAACCCCTGGAGTCTTAAATGTCACCAGCAGCACCTACAGAGGATGAAGGAGAATGCGAAACACCGCAACCAATACAGTATCCTTTCATGAATGAACTGCACTTCCTGGGTGTCTGAGTGAAGTAGAGGGAAGGGCCTTAATTGTTAATATAAGCATGTGTACACTGTGTGTTAGTCTATAGTTTCTTTGGTTGCTGTGTGATCCTTGACCCCCTTTCACAGAATTTATTCTTTTGGAGAATCTGACATGGCGCTACACAGTACCATGTGTCTTAGACTTGAAGATGGGAACTCGCCAACATGGGGATGATGCATCAGAGGAGAAGAAAGCCAATCAGATCCGCAAGTGTCAACAGAGCACCTCTGCCTCTATCGGAGTGCGACTTTGTGGCATGCAGGTACGGTAGAGATGCAACACAACTCCTCTGCATTGATATGTTCTGTGTTGGTCGCATGTGGAACTGTAGTGCTCATGTTTCTGTGTGACCCGCAGGTTTACCAGTCGGACTCAGGCCAGCTGATGTTTATGAATAAGTACCACGGGCGTAAACTGACACTAGCAGGCTTCAAGGAGGCCCTCTACCAGTTCTTCCATGATGGGCATCGCCTGCGTCGAGAGCTTCTCTCCCCGGTGCTGCGCAGACTCCGAGAAATGCAAGCTGCATTGGAGGCCTGCGAGTCTTACCGCTTCTACTCCAGCTCCCTGCTCATCATCTACGATGGAGACCCTCCCAGGACTCCAAGTAGGCCCAGACACCGCGGTGGGGAAGAAGGTGACGAGGATGAGCCATCCGATGAAGAAGAAGAAGAAGAGGAGGAGGAGGAAGACGACGAGGAGGAGGAAGAGGAAGGGGCCTTTGGTTTTCCGCGTTCTTCCTCAGCAGGTGGCAGCGCTGGTGTGGCGGGAGGGAGCAGCAACAGTGGCAGCAGTCGCTCCTCCCACAGCACCGGAGAGGCCAGCAGCCCCGCGGTGGACGTCCGCATGATTGACTTTGCTCACACAACCTGTCGGCACTACGGAGAGGACAGTGTGGTGCACGAAGGCCAGGACAGTGGTTTCATCTTCGGCCTCCAGAACCTCATCACCATCATCTCCCAGCTGGAGGATCACAGTACTGACTGAGGCTGCACTGGAACCAACGTGGTCTAAATTTTAAGCACGGGAGAGAGCTCACTGAGCTAAAACCCTGCTACTCTAAGGTGCATCGTCCTCATCTCTACACGGGGGTCTGACCCTCCTCTGCTTGGAGGGAACCTAAGACACCTCGGGGGTCAGGGGAGAGTCTGTGTGGTCGTTCCTGCGCTCTCCCTTAGCTGCCAGAGGACAGGGCTGCCTGTGCCCTTACTTGCACTTTTCTCTTTCTGAGACTGCTCCTTTTCTTTGTTATACGTGGTAGGAGAAATTCTGTTTGAGACGGCGGTCTCTCAACAAACACAGGGACTCCTGTAGCGTCCTAGGGCCCTCCTCCCCCTCTCCTCCTCTGGTACAGACGAGTTTCTTTATTGTTAAGTTCTCTCTGAGAGAGAAAGAGTGAGGCAGAGATAATTGAAGCTCAAGTGTAGTTGTAGGAGCCTGATGTGGTGCTTTACCTGTGATATGACATACGTTTTTTGTTTTTCGGATGAAGTTTGGACTGCCGATCCCCAACAGCACAGCACATTATTTGTGGGGAAGTTGACTGTACAAGCTGACCTTGGCTGGCTGGGTCAACAGCCTTGTAGCAATTGACAACTTAAGCTTCTAAAAAGGACATTTTGTCTTTCTATTGGTGTCTCTTTAGACCCCTTGTAACAAACATGGTTTGTGTCCACAGGGCACTCGGATTTATACTTTTCGGTGGAAGAACAAGATAATTTAGGTCTAGAAGAAGGGATTTGCCTTTTTTTCAACAATTGTTCTCCCCTGTACCTTTTTGCCTATAAAAAGACTTTTGCTAAGGGGATAATATCCTTGTTTTGTCACCGTTTTTGTTTTTTGTCTGATTTTCTCCTCTTCATTCCTGAAACTTTGACTAAACAAAGAATATATTGATTAAGAACACTAGCTACGAAGACTATATAGAGACTATTTATTTGAAAGGATTGTTTAAAAAGTAAAAAGAAAAAAATGGAAAAAGCTACATTCCATATTACCACTTTCAATGTTCTGTTCTGATACCAACTTTTATTTTATTATTGCAAGAGCCGATACCTCTCTTGTATACCTGTGTGTTAAGTGTCTTGGAAAATAAAGGCATTCATTTGTGGTAAAAGTTTCTGCCCATCTTGTGTTCATTTACACTGTACATTGTTTGTGACTAATATGCATTCACTGGACAGGAGAAAATAAAATAAAACATGAGCAGGATGCTGACTCGAGATCTGTAAGTGTTGCTGTGACAAAAGGAGATGGTACTGTGGAAGACTTGAGTCATCCTTTGTGTGAAATACCATGGAAAATAGAGTGATCCACCTCCCTTTCACTACACACTAAGGAAATGCGCTTACTGTGCTTAAACTAACAGAAGGTGACTCAACAGGTCCAGTGTGTAGCAGCATTTAGGAAAGTTTATTAGCAGAAATAGACTATCTTCATATATATGTTTTCATTAGTGTATAATGAATATGAATATTAAAATTATGTTTTTGAGTTGTTTTTATTGACCGTGGACCTCTTCCCCCGAACGGTTTAACCAAACACTAAATCTAGAAAGGTCCTTTCCTTCTGTGTTTCACAGCCACCGTAGTTTCTCCTTCAGGCTTGGAACAGTGAGATTAGAGGGGTTATAATCTGCAACTACACCGCCCGATGCCACTGAATCCTACACACTGGTGCTTTAATGTCTACTAAGAAAGCATTTAACTCGACTAGACCAATAGAAACTGGTAAAAACTCATATTCAGGCCACCAGTAAATCATCTTTAGATCAGTCTATTGTAATTGTTCACCTGGCAGAGGGAAGCTCAATATACACACAACAGGGAGGGCAATGGTTTGTGTGCTTGCTTTTAGATCAGAAAAATAAGCTTTTCTATGCAGTAGCTGGATTCTGAAGGTTGTGATTGTATTGCAGATCAGTTTAGTTCCTAAGAGTTTAACACTGAAATGACGGGCAGACAAAACCACTCTGTGGTCTTGACTGAGAAGTGTGGTGTGAAGATGTCTGATGCTCATGGATGCAATCTAAAGTCTTGTGCCAGTGACATCCAATACAACTGGGGTTAACATCTTTCAGATGACTGAAATATGAAACCATTTGGTTCAGAGATAATGCTACTATTAAGAGTAATTTGCTGTAAGATCAGTGAACTAGTGAGTTTCTATTCAGTAACAAGGAGTTATGATATTATTATTAGCGAAGACATCAGGACCTGTTTACTTGTCTTGTGTGTGCATTACATAATTTAGACAAAACTGATCCAAAGGAAAGTCTCTGCCATGGGAACAGGCTTTCCTCATTTGTATGCTTGAGACAGCATGAACACAACGAATGCAAACCTCACTTTGCATGCGTCATCATAGTTACAGAGTTCATTATTAAGCAGTTTAGTTGAGGTTTTTGGCTTGGTTGCAATTCAGAGGCGACATCGGTGACTGATCTGCAGTAGGCCGGCACAGGACTGGTTTATAGATTATACACTTCAAACAAGAGAAGAAAAAACTTCCATTAGAACTGTAATGCTAAGCAGGAAGCATTACAAGGTGTTAGTCCGCAGCCACATGCACCAACAGCTCTGAAGCAGCGGCCTCAACTGACCGCTACTTGTTCAACATACTTTATGCACCCTGAATTTCATAGTGAAAGTGCAAAACTTCCAGCTTTGTGTTGGGCCTAATCGGCTTTCCAGCCACGGAAAACACTCTGAGCTAAGGAGGGCAAGTCCACGGAAACCCTTGCTGTGTGGAAAGTATGCCTAGAATGCTGCTTCACTTTTCAGCAACTTGGCACACCTGTTTTACACAAAGGGTGTGGTTTTTGGAGACAGTAGAGTGCATTTCTAAAGGCTAGGTGATGTTGTAGCAACCTGCTTTCAACCCGGGGCAACTGCATGACGTGTGAAGTTGAACGTAGGTGCAGTGGGTAAAGAAACACTCAGATGTGGCTTATGCTGTTAAAGAATACACAAGAATGACCTTTTCATAGTGGGATGAATTCATATTTACTTTAAAAAATGAAATGTGATACTAGGTTTTCTAATCTTTCTGGTGTTTGTGTGCAGTGAGACTTACAGTGTTTGTGTACATTAGCACACTGGTCTGACTAATGACGCCCAGCACACATACTGCAGGCCCTTAGGAGCAGCGCTCTTCTGCCACATCATCATCATCACAACCACAGCTCACTTACAACTGGCTGGAACAGACTGACTCAGAGACTTCAGATGGCCCACATACCCACGTTTATATGCAATATTCAGTTACAAGATTATTCATGCATATGTCCTCTAAAAATATATTAACACAAATGCATTACCAAACACCAAGACATGGGTGGATTTTATCCCGTTTTTTTAGCTTAAATGGATAAAATAGTATAAAATCTAGTTGTGACTAGATTATTCAAACATTCTTTTGATTTTTGAAGCTTTATCTCTTATCTGTTGTTTTACCCAGGGTGTAAGGGGATTTGGTGCAGTTCGATGCAGTAAACATCATGAAAGAAAGCAAAGGGAGAGAGTGTCAATTTAGGAGAGTTGTTCCGGCACGAGATAAGAAGGATTATCATTTCCTCTTTTCAGATCTAAAAATAGCCAAACATACCCTGCTCGTCTGCTGCCTGCTGCAAAACAGATTTAGATGGATATGTTTTGCTCCACTATGGCATCGAATCAAGTGTGTTCAAATGGTTTTAATGATGACGCCCAAAAATATATTTGATTTATGAAAGAAGACAGTGTGCTGTCCCCTGTGTACTTTCATCACTTGATTTGCCTTTTTTGGGGGGTCTTTTGCATTTTTTAATAAGTGGGCTTTTTTCTCTGTGTTGTGTCTGTGCTGTATGTATGTAGGTGTGCTGGTGTGGGACATAGACAGTTGCCTTGGTGACTGAACTGACTTTTTTTTAACAGTAATACATTACTATAGCAACAGCAGCAGTATTTTAAGCAGTTCTTCACCATAAGATGCAAACTGCTCATACAAAAATATTCACATAACTTGAATAAATGACACCTAGCATAACTTATATTAAACAAATGTAATGCTGTGGAGCAAAATGAATATTGACCAAAAAATGCATCCTTTTGCTTTCACTGGATGCTTGATTTCTTGCAAGAAAACACCATTTAGCAAGGCATTGCACTTGCAGGATTACTGTAAGTGTGATCAGACTGAATCTTATTGGACCAACATTGTGGTTTTGCAATGAACTAACAAAACTAATCAAGCCTGATTGACCCCAATAGCACAAGAAAGTGTGAGCTATGATGTAAGAGCCGGTGTGATAATCACTCTGATGATAACGCATGAATGCACCGTTCTTCGTGGAGGAACACACGCAGGTGTTTGTGTTTGCTAAGACGAAACCTGCACAGCATACATGATGGTGTCTGAGCAAATGGTGTGACAGGCGTCATGTTAATTAAATTCTTATCCGTTTATCATTTGCAGACATGAGCCCTTACTGCAAAAGAGAAGCCATTTCTCTGTGAAACCAACCAGTGAAAAAGGATGTGAAAAAACACATTTGAGTCTGCAGTACAGCACATGCTCTCTCATTCTGCCTGCAGCAGCAATAGAGAAGTGTATATGATCTTAAAATAACTCAGACAAGAGCGAAAAGGCAGAAGGAGGTATGAATTTTTGCATTATGAAAAATGTTTTGACCAGCAGTGTTTTCAAGACC